CCCTCTTTCTGTCTCTTTCTCTCTCTGGCAAGAAGGGACTTTGGGCACGCATGCACACGAATTCAGCATACATTTACGCCACCAGGTCCAGGACTGGAACCGTGGTCAGCTATGTGGGCGTCCAGCACTTAACCACCGTGCTGCTTGCCTGCCCCCTAAGAGGACCCAGAACTGTAACCATTTCCATAGGATAGGAGATGAAGCCCCAAACACTCTCACAGGCTCAAAGCTCTCAGGTGGTTTCACTAATCATGTGATCTGTCAATCAGTTTCATCAGTCTTTGGGTACAGACTTCTAATCAGTTCTACGAGATCAGCTGCAAATAAATGCCGTTCTGTAGGAAAATCCTGTGTCCTTAGAAACAGACATATCTTTTACGTATGTATTGAAGCATTTCTGGACACTGACCTTTGTAAGCCAGAGAAATTTGTTTGGATGGAAAGGGACCTAGGAATCATCCTAGAAGGGGAGAGGAGATAATCTCATTTGGAAAGGTTTATCACAGGGTAACTGTTTACCAGGCCACAGGAAAATGGTAACAGCTTTAAAGAAATCATGGAAAAGGACCGCGTTTTTATTTATTTATTTATTTATTTTAGGTTTTTGCCACAGGGTGTGTGTACTCACTGGAGAGAGAGAGGAGGGGAAAGTGAGAAAGCACTCCCTTAAGAGGATGGCCATGCCACAATCCCTTCTCTTCTGTTCTCTCAGGATTTTGGGCACGCACACACGTGCGTCTGGCATGATTTTCAAGCTGCCAGGACTGGGACTCGAAGTATGGTTGGCCATGTGGGAATCTACCCCTTAACCTCCACGCCACCTGCTGCCTCCAGGAAAGAAGAGCCAAGATTTATTCACAGATTCTTAATTATTTTTTTTTTTTTTTTTTTTTTTGCTATCGGGTGTGTGTGCTCACCAGAGAGAGACAGAGAGACAGAAAGCGAGAAATCACCCCCTGGGGTGATAGCCACACCACAATCCTTTCTCCATTCTCCTCAGGATTTTGGGCACGCAGGTACATGCACTCAGGGTGAGTTTTAAGCCACCAGCTCTGGGACTTGAACCGTGGTTGACTACATGGGAGTCCAGTGATGTAACCCTTAAGCCATCTGTGGGTCCCTGCAATTACTTTTGAAACTGATAACCACACTCAATTTCCAGATGGGTCAGTTTTAAAAGAGTGACAAACATTGAAGATGATACCAACTGACTATTTTTGAAGAAAATGTATCTAGGAGGAGTATCTCATAGAACTTCCCCCAACAGCATTTATACAATGCCAGTGATTTTTAAAATTTAAAAAGGTCGTGGCTTGCTTTTTAAAAAACAAGTGAGGTGTCATACAGCCTCTCACCTCTAGGGGTAGTGCACACACACACACACATGCGCGTGCACACACACTTACACACATGCACGCACACACTGACCTTTCTTCACCATTCTGCCAGCCACTGTGAACTGGGTGGAGTCATTGGCGGCCCCTTTGCCTTTCGTCTTCCAGGCCTCCTCTCTCACGGTAATGAGGTGCTTCCTCTCCTCTATCGTCATCTGGCTCTCGCGACTTTCTGTGACCCGCTGTGTAGAAGATAGGCAAAGGAGAAAATGGGAGAGAGAAATAACAGAAGTGTGAATTTTAGCCTGCAGCACTTCACGGGTTAAAAGAACTAGGAAAACACAGAGTAATGCAGTGTGCGAACATGTCCAAAATGTCCTATGTGAGATGGGTTTGGCTTTCTATTTCCAGGTGGGGTTAACAATCCCCATGGACAAGACTGAAACTGTAGGTGCAAACTCCGGTTCCTTCACTTATTTGCTTGGAAGGCTGGGACACCAAAATGGTCCCTTGTAAAAGTAAATAGAAATACAGCGTCTTCATGACATGAACCTCACAGGGTTTGAAAGCTGCTCTGTTTTACACATCAACTTAATCTCAGTTAATTGGAAGTTTTTATCCAAATGTGCTCACCAAGAACAGGGTCAAGCTAGAAAAGTTTATCCAAGTCCGCCCATGAGGAACACGCTCAAGTATAGGGGGGAAAAGCTGATTAGGAATAAGGTGTGCCGTAAGGTTCCGTCCGACTTGTCATGATTTACCCTGCAGCGGTGACGGGACATGGGCAGTGAGGCCACTGGGTCAGCCCACGGAAGAGATCTTAAGCTACGTGTATCTGATTCTAGGGATGAACATAACCAACCTCTGTAAGAACATTCCTATTTAAAAAGCTTCGGAACTTTATAACTGGGCCTCTGGTGTTAACTGCTGCTTCCAGTTCTAAGGAGCAGCCATTGGAAACTTTTACTGGGCCTATGGTGGTGACTGCAGTAGAGGGTTAAGGGGAGGGAGCCAGAGAGGTCTGGAGGACACCAGGGCTGGGATAGGGGTGTGGCTGGGAGAGGCAGAGGAACAGGAAGAGAGGCAGTGAGGGCCCAGCCTGCAGGCGAGCTGAGAGGGAGAGTGGAGAGGATGACAGTGGGTGACAATACAGGAGGTCGTCAACTGTGGGTAGGACTGAGTCTGTTCTTCCTGTCTTTCATGTCGTTCCTCCCTGGCCTGTGCTGGGGCCTGGGGCAGAGTAAGGGCAGAGCAACGTGGCAAGTACCACAGAGATAATGCTGGAAGGGTGAAGAGCAGCCTCCCCTGAGCAGGAGGGGCTGGGCTGCCCACCTGGCCACTGTCACTCAGAAAGGGGCTCCGCTCGGAATCTTAGACCCCAGGAAACACCCTTTCTGCTAAAGATCTCCTTTCAAACTACAAAGCAGGCCTTAACTTTCCTCAGATAAGAGGGAGGCCTTGCTTTGACAAAGGCCGGATGGAGCGGGCCCTGGGGGCTGGGGTGTATCCCAGGGCGATCTTGATTCTCTGCCATCACAATTTTCTGTTCGCCATGACAAATCTGCGTCCCCTCGCTGACTACTAGAAAATAACTTCCAGGTGCAGGAAGGACAAGAAGACAGCATGACTGACATAGTTCATCTCCTTAAGGCCCTGGAGCGATGGAGCATCAACCTAAGTCTGCACTGGTCAAATCCAGATTAAGTTAACTCGGACTTCTCCACTGTCTAATGTATAAACCGTCCTCTATATAATGTATAAACCTGTCTAATGTATAAACCTTCCTCTCTCAGGGCTTTTCTACAGGGCCGTCACAGCCAGAAGTGATATCGAGACCCCTGGGCATTTGAGTCAGGTTCAATGATCTTGGCTCAGATCAAGAATCCTGGAACCTGGTGGGGCAGGAAAGGACATTATGGGTGTACAGTGACACAATCGGAAAGTGAATGTGGATTAGACGGACATTACAGAAATAGAAACTCTTCCTCATCTTGCTCACTCTGTTGTGGTTATGGGAAAAAATATCTTTGACTTTAGAGACATGGAAGTACTGAAAGATTTAAAAAAAAAAAAAGTATGATTTCTCCAAACGCACGGCATGTGGTTTGGGGTGGTGAAATGTGTGTGTGTGTATATGTACCCACACACATATATGCACACGCACACACCCTCCCCCCGCCCACACACATATAAGAGAGAGGGGAGAAGTCAGGAGTGGGGGAGGAGGGGCAGGGAGAAGAGAGGGAGGAGCGGAATAGGGAGTAACCCTCAACAATGGGTCCGGTAGAAGGTATATGAGAGATGAGAGTGCCCTGCCTATTATGGAAAATTTACTACCATCTTATAGTTTATCAAAATAAAAGTTACTCCCCTCCAAAAAGAGACCAAAAGACTCCCAAAACCTTTTTTTTTTTTTAGGTTTGCCATAGATTGTGTGCCCACCAGAGACAGAAAGAGACAAAGAGTGGGAAAGTGAGAAATCCCCCTCTGGGGGGATGGCCACGCAGCAATCCCTTCTCTTCCATTGTCTTCTCAGGATTCGGAGCATGCACGCACATGTGCCTGGCGTGATTTTTAAACTGCTGGGTCTGGGACTTGAACCACAGCTGGCCCTGCGGAATCCAGTGCCTTAACTACTGCATAACCTATTGGCCTGCCCCCAAATCTTTTTATTTTTTCCCCACTCATGATGGGTGAGCTGATCCTATTATAATCCCAAGTACCTATCTGAATCACATATTCCTGTTAAGTAAATTAGGAGGTTGGCTGGCCAGGAAGACTCTATTGAAATTCAATAGAGAAATTAAGGGTTTTTTTTTTTTTTAAATGAAGTTTCAGGACTGAAATTAAATCAAGCCAATACAGCACTTGGCTTAAAATACTTGCAAAAAGGATATATGAAGTGCTGCAATGCTGCCTTGTCCAGAGGTCCAGGCATCACTCCTTCCCTGAACTGGCCGAGGCATGTTGAAAGTCTGGGGGCCGGGGTGTGGTTAAGGACTCAGACAAACGTTTCCTCCAGCCAGCTACCCCATTTCCCAGTGCACTCGAGCCCCCTAGGGCTCCTCTGTGAGCACGCTGCGATGGTACCACTGTGTCAGAATGTAAAGGTTCCATTCCTTTGCCATATCTAGGTCCAGAAAAATATTTTTCACTCCACTCTAAATAATGACATTAAACACAAACATTTCTGTTCCTCTGAAGTTTCTACTAACTTTGCTACTTATGGGGTTAATTTAGGCCCCTATTATCTACTCTCTGACTTTATACGGCTCTAAGGGGTGGGGTGGGGGGGACAGCTTGCTTGTTCACTGAAAAAGCTAATACAATTTGGCATAAGTTGATTTGAAATTTTGCAATTCAAACTGCGGGAAAAAATATGGGTATCTTTACCCATTTGCTTTCCATTTTTTTTTTGGAGAGTTTTTTTTGCTATAGGGCGTGTGCGCTCGCCAGACAGAGAGAGAGAGACAGAAAGCGAGAAATCACCCCCCGGGGGGATGGCCATGCTGCAATCCCTTCTCCTCCATTCTCCTCTCAGGATCCTGGGCACGCATGCACATGCGCCCAGCGTGAGTTAAAGCCACCGGGTCCGGGATTCGAACCGCGGTTGACTAGGTGAGGGTCCAGTGACATAGCCATTACGCTAACTGCTGGTCCCTCCATTTGCTCTTTTTTCAAATTAAAACTTTATTGTCTTTTTTTCTTTCAAGTTTTTCTTTTCCTTGTTCAGAGATGGACATAATCTACATGGTAATACGTACTGTGTCTCTTCCCAGCTGACAGACATTTAGGACTGACTAAGAGCCGGGCAGAGCACAAACAGAAGCCTGCCCTATCCTTCATTCTTTCAAGTATGGATCCCATCATATGGTGAGCAAAATGAAGAGAGAAGGTGGGGGAGGGAATGCGAGAGAGAGAAAGTGTGTGTTTGTGTGTGCATGTTAGATGTTAGTGGAGGAACCAGCAGTTAGTGTAATAGCTATGTCGCTGGACTCCCATGTAGTCGAGCACGGTTCGAGTCCTGGACCTGGTGGCTTAAACTCACGCCGGGCACGTGTGCGTGCATGTCCAAGATCCTGAGAGGAGAAAGGAGGAGAAGGAATTGTGGCATGGCCAGCCCCCCTGGGGGGTGATTTCTCGCTTTCTGTCTCTGTCTCTCTGGTAAGTGCACATGCCCTATAGCAAAAGCCTCTCAAAAAAAAAAGTGGAACAACTGGAAAGAAAGGCGGTTGTTCTCTTCGGAACAAGGGCTTGATAGGACAGAGATAGAAACTGCAAAGAAATGAGCAAGAATGTATTCAAGGGCCCAGCCTAGTGGCACAGTTGGTAGCAAACTGAATGGCAGCGCTGGAAGCCACAGGGCCAGTGGGTTCAGAACCCAGCTACGGGTTCAGAACCCCAGGTCGGCCTGAAAACATGCCAGGGATGTGTTGAGGACCCTGAGGAGCTGAAGAACTGGGGAAAGAAGATGGAGGTGCACTAAGACCCTCTCAAGGACGCCTCTTTTCTCCCTCCCTCATGTACACATGTACTCTTTCTATCATGGATAAAAAGAAACCAACTTAAAGAAAACAAAATATACTTGATTGTTTTCAGGTGACCACACTGTTGTTGATGGGTTTGCCTCTCTACGAGAAATCACTGCAAATCTCACTGAATGTTTCCGACATAGGATGTTATACGGGAGAGACTGTCACTAACCTGTGTTATTAGGATTAGAGTAGGGTTGTTTTTGTTTTTGTTTTTTAAGTTTTTGCGATAGAGTGCATGTACTTGTCAGAGAGAAATACAGAGGGGGAAAGTAAGAAACCACACCCAGGGGGGATGGCCATGACACAATCCCTTCTCCTCCATTTTCCTCTTGGGATATTGGGCATGCATACACATATGCCCCTAGTGTGATTCTCATGCCACCAGGTCTGGAACTCAAACTGCAAAGCTGGCTATGTGGGATCGAGTGCCTTAACCTCCATGCCACCTGCTGGCCCAAGATTAGGGCAGATGTAAAGGATAAAACTCCTCCCTAAAGCTTCATGGAAGAAAATATGGCAATCTGGCTTTTAAATTTTTACCTTATTCACATCTAGTTAAAATAAACTATAGAAATAAATGATAGGAGTTCATGTTCAATAACAGGAATAGGTCAAGTGACAAAGCAATCACTTTTCAGTTTTAAAAAATGCTAGCAGTACTTAGAATTCGTGCACTGCTAAAGAGATTTAGTTTTGCTTTCTCCTTA